AAAATTTATAATATTAAGTCCGATATTTAATAGTAGTAGATTAAATAAGAGTATTGAAAATCTACACTTAGAACTCAATTTGTTGATTGTAAGTATCACAAGTATATTTTTATCTGTGGCTATGAATACAAATATTTAATGTAATTTTTTAATATTAAATTACACAATAAATTGCAACCTTTTTTCATCTTTTAATCTTTTCTACCCATATGTCATGTAAATTAAAATATATTTAAAACAAAGTTAAATTTGCTTTAGTAAAAATTTTGATTAATAGAAAGACTTCTACACAATTGACCATACATGGTCGTACAAATTAAATTGGATATACTTGGCCAAAAAAAGTTCAAAGAAACAAGTAAAAAGACAGACCCTATGCCCAATATTTGATGTGATACTTATTATATATGTTCTTTTCTTTTTTTCTTTTTCTTTTTTTTGATCATTTTTGTCAAGGGCAGGGTAAAACCGTAGCCCATGGGGGAGTGGGAAGATGAACCTACAATAGTGACAAACGTCACTTGGCCGATAAAGCAAGTTCTATTATATATGTTCTTTTCAAACATCAATTATTATTTTTTTTTAATTTGGACAGTCAAAATGTAATTGAATAGGTTTATATGTACCATAACTAATTCATATTCAAGTTATCCTAATTATATACACCATTACATTAATTTGGCCAACAATTTAAAAAGTTAGTCACAATTTTCTTTCTATAAAATCAAAAAATTTTGAGTTTAATTTTTTTTTTTTTTTGTAAAAGAGTTTAAATTATATGATATATAAAAATGATGAATTAAGAGATAAAAGATAATTAATTACATTTTATTATACAATTAAAAATAAAAAAATATTAAACCCCAAAATTTAAACATTATAAAGTTGTCCTTCACTTAACTTATTTAGCAGGAATCCAACTCTTCTTTACTGTACATACGTCATATATACTTCATTACTGATTTTGCCTTCACCTTATTGGCACACCAAGTAAAAAAAAAATACTCCACACACGCGCTTAGACGCTCTACCAGGACAGGTATGATCAAACTGTCCGGTAGAACGACCAGTCAAATTTCAAAGCTCCATCTCTAAATCTAAAGACAGAAACCCAGACTCTCTCTTCCATCGATCTTAGACTCTCTCTTCCATAAACAAACCCTAACTACTCTTTTCTCTCTCTCTCTGTCTACACAATTTTCCTAGCTATTCCCCTTTATCTCATCAATCTCTAAGCATAACGACCCTTCAAAATTTTCCTCTTCATCATATTTCTTGGGTGACCAAAAAAATCTCTCCTCAAAGTTATCTACCTTTTCACCTTCTTTTCTCTCATCTGCAAGTCTCTGCTATATATTTCCCTCCTCGGATTTCTCCTCTACCCTTCTTTTTCTCAGTTTGGGAAAAAAGGGATTTTGTTTCTCAGCCCCATACATGATCATATCATCAACTGTACTGTATACTAATCTAGTAACTCCAAGTTGATCTCTCTCTCTCTCTCTCTCTTTTTTCTTTTTTTCTAAAAAAAAAAATTATTGAATCCTTGTTAAAGTTTGAAGTCGGTTGATTTGGAGTCCGAGTGTCAGTGGGATCTGAATCATCAATAGGAAGGGAATGGCTGCACCGCCTAGCAGTCGGCTTCAGAGCATGTTGCAGGCGGCGGTGCAATCAGTTCAGTGGACATACAGTCTCTTTTGGCAAATTTGTCCTCAACAAGGGTACATATTAACTCTTCTCTTATATTCATGTTATATGATTGAATATAATTTCGTCTGTTTTAATATGTTAAAGAAGTTAGTGTTTAGCTATTGCAGAATGTTTTCCATGAAAATTGACTCGGTCGAGCTTCTGAAATGTTGATTTTAGGATTTTGATATGGGCGGACGGGTACTATAATGGAGCAATAAAGACTAGAAAGACTGTGCAACCAATGGAGGTTAGCGCAGAGGAGGCGTCTCTACAAAGAAGCCAACAGCTCAGGGAGCTCTATGAGTCATTATCTGCCGGAGAGACCAACCAACCCGCCCGCCGGCCTTCTGCCGCCTTGTCACCTGAGGATTTAACGGAGACCGAGTGGTTCTACTTAATGTGTGTGTCCTTCTCTTTCCCACCTGGAGTCGGGTAAGTTCTAGAAAATTCACTTCTCCAGTACCTTTTTTTCCCCCTTCATATGCTTGAATGAAACCCCTTCTTTTTCTGGTGAAAGTTAATGGACCAATCTGCAACTAAATTGAGAAAAAAAAAAAAAATTAGGAAATGAATTTTTTTTTCAAGCTATATTTATCATTTGGCACATCTACTCTCCTCTCTAACCTATATTTCTATGAAAAAGTTCAACAACTTCCACTCCAAGATAAGAGGGACATTTAATATGGATAGTTAAGAAATGAATTCCTTCCTTTTTCTGAAGAGAGTAATGAAGTAGTCCCCCCTCTCTTCCTGAATTCAGTCAGCACTATGGCAAGTGCGATTGTCTCAACGACAAGGAACCTCCGAAGTACGTGCATTGAAAGGAGTAAATGAGACAGCTAAGTTACGTTATGGTAGATTTAAATTTAGACATTAGATATTTGATCTGTATAGTAAGATTAACTCGCTGACTTCTGAGTTCTGAGTACGTCTCCTGTCTCCTAATGACCTCGAAGAACTCAAAAGATATGTGATTATGATTTAATACTCAGTGTACGCTGAGTATGATCAGATGATCATTATGCGGTTTGGGTTGATGTGTTGTTTTCTTTACATAGAGCGTTAGGTGGGAGCTTCTACGCCTTCATCTCCTTCTTTCTTGGTTTAATTTAAGAGGCTTTCTTTATAGGATTCTCTCTGGGGTTAGTAGTTAAATAAAAGTTCACTTACATGTCTATAAGGACAAAGAGGAAACTAGCAAGGAGACTGCTGGGAAGAATATATTCTGGAATCTGTGTGTCATAGCGCACATACTCGAAAAAAAAACAGCCTAAATAGCTACAAATTCAAGTTTGAATTTTTGGTCCATTCATTTCCTTCATTTTTTCCTAGCTTGTTTTGACGAATAGACAACCAAATGCAATGACTAACTAAACCCTTACCCTATCACCCTTTCTCGCAGTATTTTTTTTTTTTTTTACATCTTATTTACAGTATAATAAAAAACATTTTTTTTCTTAAATTTTTTTTCATGCATCTACTTGATATATTTTTAAATTTAAAATTTTCTGACTTAAAACTTGACACATATACACATGGGCATGAAATTGATTGAGCATCCTTTTTACTTTAGTGATGGGTATGGGAAATTTCACCTCGTGTCTAACATTGGAGTGAATCTTTCGGGATAATCTTTATGTACTTGATATACATATGCGGGAAATCACATGTTAGAAAACTACAAATTTGATGGGTATAGCTTTTGACTTTGATGAATGAATTAGCTTTTAGGTCATAGGCAGAGATGAGATACATATAGAAAGCATCTATTTATATATATATATGTCCAACTCCAAATTTCAAATCTTGATTTCTTCATGGATTCATAGAGGATTGCCAACGATATTGCCCCTTCTCCAGTCGTTAAGTCCAAAGGAACTTTAGTTAAAAGTTAATAACACAGTTGAATTATTTTTGGAAATGATGGAGATGCATCAACTAATTAATCATCTAAATATCCCGTTCAAGTTTAGATATATATAAATTCCATCTCCTTTTACCTTTTTACCTTTTTACATCTCTTTACTTTAGCGTTAGCTTTCTTCCTCCTTTTTTTTTTTTCCCCTCCTTTCTTGACTAATTTCTTCATTTCAGAATGTTAATTAGGGAAAATTTTATTATTTAAAGTTGAGTATGTATAATTAATTTTATATTAATGTCCAAGGAAATCAAAGTAGGTGGTGGTGTGTGTAGGTTACCAGGAAAGGCATATTCAAGGCGGCAGCACGCATGGCTTACCGGAGCCAACGAGGTCGACAGCAAAATCTTTTCCAGAGCTATTCTCGCAAAAGTATGTATATTAAATTAGTTGGTTATTGATTGATGTATCTCGTTAAATAAAGAGATTTAATTATTTAATTAATTATTTAATATCATGTTATAAAATTCAATTCGATGCACTAATTAACTGTATTGTCTTTTGTATACCAACACGAACGTGTAATTCAACCACTTGAACAGAGTGCTCGTGTGCAGGCAAGTATCTTAGTAGCACTAATTTAAGACTAATTAGTTTCATTTTTTCAATTTTCCATTCGTTATTTAAAATTATAAATCATAATTATTGTATTTGTTGTATTTAATATTGCAGACTGTAGTATGCATTCCTCTTCTAGACGGTGTGGTGGAACTTGGCACCACAGATAAGGTTCCAGAGGACTTGGCTTTTGTCCAACACATAAAGACCTTTTTCATGGAAAGCCACCGCCAAAACCCTCCCCCACCAAAACCAGCCCTCTCCGAACACTCCACCTCCAACCCCGCCACCTCCTCCGACCTCACTCGCTTCCACCCTCCATCTGTTCCTGCATTGTACACTGCAGCAGGCCCACCAGCCAATGACAACCAAGAAGATGATGAAGACGAAGAAGAAGATGATGATGAAGAAGAAGAAGAAGAAGAACCCGAGTCTGACTCCGTGGAAACAGGTAGAAACAGCCGCCAAGTTAGGGCGGAAAACACCCAAGCAGTGGTGGCAGCTGCAGCGGAGCCAAGTGAGTTAATGCAGCTTGAAATGTCTGAAGATATACGACTGGGGTCACCTGATGATGCGTCGAATAATTTGGACTCAAATTTTCACATGCTAACGGTGAACCAGTCCGATAACCCGACCGATCAGCAGCGGCAAGCTGACTCGTTCAGGGCAGAGTCGACTCGAAGGTGGTCAATGTTACAGAATCCCTTGGTCAGTAGCAGCCTCCAACCGCCTCCTTCAGGTAAAAACGTTACCACTAGTTGTTTATACTAACATATATAATTATTATTATGGAAAGAAAAGTCCATTACACGTACCCAAAAGTCCAAAACCCACTTTTTATCCTTTTTTTTAGCACAAAATTTAATATTTTACCTTTCCAAAAGAATATCAATTAACGAAATTAGATTCATGAAAATGAATCCACATTCCAAAATTGGTTTAGCAATGTGGGCCTAATTGACTCATTTTATGATGGCATGGTTTTCTCCATCCACATTGGCACATTGAAATTTCTCTGTTTAGTTTCTGGGATGTGGGCCCTCGTTGGTCCATGAATTTCAGTTGACTTAATTTATTTTTTTTATTTTTTAATATAAATTTAAGATAAAAATATAATAATTTATATATAAATTATATATAAATATATAATTTTTTTTGAATAGTTTTATTTGATTAAAAAAATTTCAATTATTATTTATGTAATAGGTTAAATTTTTATTGAAAATTTATGTTTAAAAAATTAAAAAATTAAATTAAAACTACTAAAATTGGATAGAGATGGTATAATTTGATTAGGAAAACGTTTGAAATGTAATTTTTTTACAACTTTTACATCCAATCTTAAAGGTAGTTTAGTAATTAACTCTTGTTATTCTATTAAAATCTATAGTATTATATATATTTATTCATTTAATAATAATGTAAAAATTTTATAAAAAATTATTTGTATATCATTATATATTTGGTTTTGGTCTGTGAAACCATTTCCTTTATCTATGTAGAACATAATTCACTTTAACTACTTGGTCTCATTTTTTGCTACATATAAAACCTAAATTTGGTGTTTTATGGTTAAGTAGGACTCAAATTACAAAACTTAAATCATTGGATAAAAAAAAAAAATGTGGCTGCCTTCATCACTCATCTAATAGTTTATCTTGTGTATTTTAGTCTAATGTGGTTATGAATACTTTTTATTACTAAGTGGGACAGTTGTTTTTAATTTTATAGGTGATGATATATGAATAATTTTTTTATTTTATGTTTTTATATAACTTTTATATATTATTAAATGAATAGATATATTCAATATCACAAATCTCACATGAATTGAATTAAAAGAATTAATCATTTTAATAATACGTCAAATTATATAAAAAATAAAATAATTATCCCAATAACATTTTCTTAATTTTATTGTGATTTTTTCTTTTTTTTGCAGTAGATTCACAACTGGATGATTTATCCCAAGAGGACACGCACTATTCCCAGACGGTTTCAACCATCCTGCAGAGACAGCCAACCCCATACTGGGTTGACTCGTCACAGAGCGCCTACATCACCTACTCTTCCCAATCAGCGTTTGCCAAGTGGACTGTCCGCGCGGATCACCACTCCCATATGCCCGCCGAAGGCACTTCCCAGTGGCTTCTCAAGTACGTTCTCTTCAGCGTCCCCTTTCTTCACATCAAGAATCGCGACGACAACTCCCCGAAATCACGCGACGGTGACTCCTCCGCACGGTTCCGCAAGGGCACCCCGCAGGAGGAGCTCAGCGCCAATCACGTGTTGGCGGAGCGCCGTCGCAGGGAGAAGCTGAATGAGAGGTTCATTATTCTGAGATCGCTGGTGCCGTTCGTCACCAAGATGGACAAGGCCTCGATTTTGGGAGACACAATCGAATACGTAAAGCAGTTGCGGAAGAAGATCCAAGATCTGGAGGCGCGTAACCGACAGATGGAGGCGGATCAGAAGTCAAAAACGAGCGAATCGCTGCCAAGGACGAGTAGTTCGAAGGAGCTGAGGAGTGGAGTGACAGTGGGAGAGCGGGGACGAGCCCTTGTACTTGGAGCGGGGTCAGATAAGAGGAAACTGAGGATTGTGGAGGGGAGTGGTGGCGCGGCGAAACCGAAGACAGTGGAATTGCCGGCGCCACCGACGGAGACGTCAGTGGAGGTGTCGATAATTGAAAGCGACGCGCTGTTGGAGCTTCAATGCGGTTACAGGGAAGGATTGTTACTGGATATCATGCAGATGTTGAGGGATCTCCGGATAGAGACGACGACGGTTCAGTCTTCTTTGAACAACGGGATGTTCGTCTCGGAGCTGAGGGCAAAGGTAATTAACTAATACAGTAACAAAGAAATTATCTATTTACCAAAAAAAAAAATTTTCTTTAAATTTTTTTCTAGTATTAATCTCTCTCGGATATCGATAACTGAATTGGGTCTTGAAAATAATCTCGTATGAGTTAGATTAAACCCATAAAAAGAAACTCATTCGGTATCTATTTCTCCATCCAGACTCGATGAAAGAGTACATGTAAATACTTATTTTTTATGTGGTTAAATTTTCAGGTAAAGGAGATTGCGAATGGGAAGAAACCAAGCATTGTTGAAGTGAAGAGGGCAATAAATCAAATAATACCCAATAACTAACTTGAAATATTTTGTAAATTTTAGGGGGTGAGAATTCAGATTAACTTAATACCTGACTTAGTTATCCATGGGGTTTGGATAACATTGTACAAATGTTTTAGGTGTTTGGTTTTTGGATTAAGTAGCCATCTCATCCCTAATCTGTAATCTAACGAGTATGAACTTTTTAGTTCGGGACTAGCAGCTTCCATTCCAACAAAATTTTGAAGCCCTTTACAAATCGGCTCAACTTTTTGTGGTTTGCAGGAAGCCCATTTCATTCGCTGTAAAGAGTTGCAAATAAGATTTGGAGCACAAAGCGCTTCCTGCAACAACCAATATTTGCTTCCCAAAAACAAAATTTTAGAACTTTGTTTTTTTTTTTTTTTTTTTAGCGCTTCCTGCAACAACCAATATTTGCTTCCCAAAAACAAAATTTTAGAACTTTGTTTTTTTTTTTTTTTTTTCGTATGTAGAGACTATTATTGAACTCTAGATGCACGGTTAAAAGTATAGAAAAAAAAGATATATATATATATATATA